ATATGAATGAAGATAAAGATAAGTATAAAATTGGGTTTTACTTACTGGTAATTCTGTTTATCAATCAATTTACTTACTGATTCTATTCGATTTCTACTACTTCATCGACTTCCATCACTTCATCGCTATCTACTACTTCATCGACTTCCATAGCTTCATTGCTATCTACCTGCTCATTTTTATCGCTATCAAAATCCGAATCATTATCTATCATATTTTCGTCATAATCGTCTAACTTACCCAGTTCATTATCTAGCTCATTATTATCTGGTTCATTATAATGATTTGATTCACTTTCTAAAAATATTTCTCTTTCAATCAGATGGTTTTTAACAATGGCCTGCAGACAGCTTGACATTTTATTATTTTTGCTATTATCAGGATTAAGCGTTAATCCCGTCACTTCAAAAGTTTAACCAACACATTTGTACTGATTTCCTTCCAGGTTTTGGATACCTATTCACAAACTAGCTCATATGACGCCTTCTCACAGTTCCCCTTTTTGGTAAGCACTACTTTCCCTCTATCTATCCATTCTTCCCATCTTCTTTGCATTCTATTTTTGAAAGGCTTATTTACTGAAACGTCCGGAGGCTGTAAAACACATGTTGTCCTACCTGGTATTTCTAAAATATCCAAACCTTCTGAATTCAACTTTCTTATTACACCATTACGATTATGACTGCGATGCGCATCAAAAAAAATTATACCCTTGCTTTTAAAAAAACTATTGGGCCTGGCCCGAACAACTCGTGGAATAAACGTGGAAATCATTAAATCCTGCGTTATATTTGCAGAGAGTGCTGTTGAAACCATAATATCTCGTGGAAATTTGCCCTTTGGTTTTTTTTTAGTTTAAAGATTACTATCGGGAGAAGTTTTTCTCTAGCTGCGGTGTAGCTCAAAACTACTGTAAAACGTAGTTTATCGCTTCCTGTTGATTTAACTGTTACTTCATGAACGGCTTTAAAATCAATTGTTCAATTTCGTGGTATGTCGAACCACATAGGCATTTCGGCAAAAGAAATAATAATTTTTTTTCAATATTATACGTTTTTTCACATGCAATCTGAAGGAAATTTATAACTGTTTGTGGCATGTCTTCGGGAACCTTCTGGGCTATTTGGGTT